CTGGGTGATTTGAGAAAATGCGACTAGCCAATCAGCGCAAAGCTGACAAGCTTATGTTGTAAACATAACCCCCCGACGGGAGGAATTTGCACAGCAAAACTCGACCCAGTGGAGTAGGCTGCCTGCCATTTTATTCTATCCGAAAAATCAAAGCTAAAACGCAAAGAGAAATTGCAAATCTTTATAAAATAGCTTTTATTAAATGTCAATCAAATATTTATCGTTATAGAAATAGAATTTTATCTTAAAAATGAAATAACAAATAATTTTTTCTTTAATACCAAGAGACTCCCCTCCCTGATAAAAATAATTGGTCTGTGTTCTACGCGGGTTCTCCATTGCATGCGAAGCAATGGCCGACTTCACGAAGACTTCAGAAGGTCGTTGAAGCGACGTTCAAGTCCAAAGTATCTTAGGAGGAACCATTGCAAATCCTTTTTCTTAGCTCTTGTTTCCTCTAAGCTTTGAGGTATATACAACATCACTGGAAGAGCTAGAGCAGCTTAGCTCCACGTATTCCAATAGAGTTAAAGCGTTGTTATTTTTGGTACAAACAACTGTCGTAGTTCATCCTTTGTCGCATTTTCGGCAATAAGCCACCTGAAGCATGCTCGACGATACTAACGGGTTGAGACGTTATGTAACTGGTCGGTTACACATTTACTAGCTTTGACCTTACAATGAGAGCTAGAAGGTGACTGGGATTTTTCGTGTAATGTCTTGATAGCGACTGTTTATGTCGAAACGACTCAAAACAAAATTCCATCGTGAAAAAAGTTCGACTAAATTCCCATCTGAAAAACACGTTTGTATTTAAGGTGGAATATGTTTCATATGAGCATTCAATTCTTAAAGGTTAATTCTATAATCATTTTGTTTAGTTATGTAAATAAATTTAATACGACTTGTACTGTTTATCTGAGTGAAAGGAGAGCTGCGGGTTTTCCCTTTCCTTTATTTACATTTTCAAATATGACCGCTTAACAAAAATGCACGGGCTCACTGGCTTACAACCTTGGCGAATTCATATGCAGGCCTGGTCGCAAATCAATCACCCAGATCATGACGTCATCAGCCCGGAAGTCAACCAATCAATTCACCGTAAAATCAATACTCCATTTTCGAATTCCAAGCGAATAACCGCTGTTTTATTTGACAGCAGATTCAATTACGCAAAGAACTTWCCAAACACAAAAGAAAGCACGAGAAAATGTTGTTAGTACAATAGCGCTAACAATTTACATTTTCMCCGAGTTGAGGCTAACCCTGTATTCCCAGAAGGCTTATACCTTAGGTCTTATGGGAATACAGGGTTAGTCTCAACTCAGGGAAAATGCAAATTTTCAAGGCTATTGTAATAACGGCATTTTCTCGTGCTCTCTTTTGTGTTTAGTCAGGTCTTTGCGCAAGAGAATCTGTTGTCAAATAAAGCAGCGGTTTTTCGCTATGAACTCGAAACTGGAGTATTATTGCAATCTATCTGAGAGAATACCACAGTATAGAAACCAAATCCAAATCGGATTTCTACGAACTTAGTTTAAGTAGCAATATTTAGAAATTCAAACAGTCAATGTTTGCCTAATAAGCGTTCGTTAAATTTCTTGTTTGGTGTGTGTTATCTGTAAAAGTCAACATAATTTTCCAAAATTTCGGTAAAACGCTGTATCAACAGTTGATATTAAAATTGTGCAAATATAATCGTGATCATATTTATTTGATATAACATGTTTATATAACCGGTTTATATTTGACAAATAAGTCATACTAATAATGATACCAGTAACACTAAACTCTATGTTTTACCGAAACAAAGCTRCTGTAAGAAAAATAATTATTGCAATTACTTCATGAAAACAAACGATAATTCATAACAAAAATGAAGTATTATAATTCTTTGCCTAACCTCCGTTCAATATGAGCAAGAACTGGGATACCAAAGATTTTGCGTAAAATATCTGTTATGTAGTAATAGTGTCAAGCGTTCTATGYCTGCCWAATTGTAATATAGTCTATYAGTGTTGCGCTCTAAATATAATTCAGTGTCTTTTCCGTTTACACTGCGAAAGGGGTTATATTATTATATATACATGTATATACATATTATTATATCCATACTGATTACAAGTAAGGTTGCGGCTCAAAGATACATAAGTTGGAGGATATGCTCAACTGTCGACGAGAAAATAAAGAATAAGTTATTGGGTCTCCTAAATTATGTGATTGCCTATTTATATTCTACTTTTTATCATTCAAGATCATATAATTCGAGATGGAAAATTACTAATTGAAAATGAATGCCCTATTTACCAGTATGTTTTATTTTGCTTTGTATAAGATCTTCTATAACTTAGCATGCGAAAGAAACCACTGTTGTTATTACATTCAATGAAAAAAGATAAAGAAATCAAKTTT